TTGGTACAATCTCGCGCGCAGTTTTTTAATTTTATATGGCTCGATATATAAATTTAAATTAATAATCGTCAATATCTCCAAATAAGGATTTCGTCTCAGAGCATGGTTTTGCTGTGTACCAACCCAAATAAAAACAATCTTTTAATAACTAGTTTTTGTTACAAATATATATTAATTTTATGTACGTATGAATATTAAAATATCAGTAAAAAAATTGTCTACAAAAATAAAAGAAATAAAATACAAATTATATAAAAGCTTGTTTATATTTAAAGAAAAATTGCAACTTAATTACTTTTGACAAACCATTATATATCCTAATATAGGCAGTGTTCTTACGATGGCAATAATTTTTTAATATAAATCTAAGCCAAATATTTAATCTTTGAAGGATCGTCTTTGTCTCTCTCTAAATACTCACGATCAATCAATGTTTCGATGCGTTTTTTTATATCTTGTACCTATTTATTTACAATTCAAAGATTAGAAACTCATGAATATATGAAAGAATACGTTCGTGACTAATATTCACCTCGGCGTTAAATGTCAGTAGTCCTAAAAGTTCGGTAGTCAATTCTGTGTAAGTGAGTGATTTACGCATCTTCATGATACGCACAGCGCAAGCGTCTATTTGATAATGACGTTCCAGGAATGCGCGTTCAACGGTTTGTTGATTTTCTTCCATCTGCAAAAATGTAATAAATCAGTATAAATTTTTTACTTTAAATTAATTAGAATATATACCGTTCTCTCCATTTGGATAGTATTGATTTTAATACGAAAGTATTTATTGGAAAAATTATCGTCAACAGAAAATTGGTCAGTCGTGTTGATATCTTTTCCTTTTGGATGTTTAATTAGAAGTCTCACTTTTCCGTACGTCAAAGTTATAAGCGTACGTCTAAGTTCTTTCTCCTCTGAAATAGTCCAATAGATAATATGAGAAATTTTCTAAAAAATAATTAATTGCTTATTCCCTTACCCATTCCTGTTGCTTCTTTTATTTCCTCATAAGATCGCTTTGCACTTGATGTTAATTCAGCAAATAATAGTAGGACTACAGCTTGGAATAAGGTAACTTCAAATTCTTTGTTTCCCTGCGCAAGTAAAATTATAAGCAAAAAGTTGGAGTCATTGCGCATAACTAAGTACAATACTTACATTGGGATAATACGCTGACAATACACAATGCCCTAGATTGTTATACCACTTTAACCCTTTGCCCCTTGCCTTCTCTCTGTAAAATGTCTCGTAGATTCTTTGACATTGGGCAACCTGTAATAACAAATAAATGTGCTTATAGAAAGTATTCTTTCATTCTTTTAAGAATATGAAAATTTATAAATTTAACAGTTTATAACATCCTTAACACTCACATTAGGTGGGAGGATCAGCGGTGCTGGAGAATATGAAGGCCAAGCCACTTGGGTTAAGGCATTTACATGTAAATCAATCTTAAAATTCTCCCTAAATTCTTCACCATGCTTAGAATCCTGTAAGGGAAATATAAATGAGTGAAAGTAGTAATAAAACATATACATCATAATTATAATTAAAATTTACATAAAAAGCCTTCATATATTCACGCGAAGTATTGATATCTTTGAACATCTGTTCAAGGTTATTAGTATATCCTGGTCCACACTCTATTAATTAAAAACTGAATGAATAATAATATTAAATTATTTAATTAAATAAATACTAAAAATTTCATTACCTTTTTTCAACTTGATCAACATACTCCTTTCATAATCATCAGAGGCGCATTTATTCATTAAGAGACGTTTGGCGAGATCCCGCTTATAGAATCCCTCGAATACATCTTTGCCTATAATTCGCTTTAGCAAATAAAATATTCGAAAAAATCAATCGAATACAGATATATAAAATAATAAAAATAAACCTACCTTGAATATATCTGAACAAAACTAAAGCAGAATTCAAAGTTTTTTCGATTTCCTTGTCGCTCATTTTCTTATTGCCTATCTTTAGCTTTCTATCAATGTATTTAGCTAAAAATGAAATATATTATCAGAAAAAAAGAAAAAAAGGAGCACAAAACTTGAATTGCCGATAACATAGATATTCACCAATAAGTTCAGCAGGCTTATGGTTGCGTTGGTTAATGAAAGTCTCAAATCCTTCTTTCAGTGTCTGTTCAAAGTTATAGTCGCCAACAAATGGACCTTGCACTATATCATCAATTCTGTCTTTGAAAACCAAAAGTTCTTCAACGATGACCAAATCTTGCTTTGGATCGTCGACAATTGGATCATTTACTATATCCATGCCAGTCTTCTACTCATTCAAATAGGTGTCATTTGCAGAATGATCAAATCCTTGCTGAAAAATAATTCAAAATACCTTAATATAATTTCCAAAATACGTGCGTAAGCGATCAAGTGAATTTACTCTTGACAAGAGACTGTATAAATTTGATAAATGACTTTTCTTAGAGGTCTCATGAACCGATGCTTTCCTCTCGGCATACATCATCTCTTCAAATCCTAGTTTAAATATCAAAATGGTAATCTACGTTTTGATTCAAAGCAATCCCTACAATAATAAGTCTTTACCTTTTGAGAGAATGATCTCGACATGCTTCTTGATCAATTCATCTTCAACAACCTTTATTAAAGGTGTTGACGTTTTATCCTCCAAATAATACTTAGCTATCTTCGATTCCTTTTGCAAGCGAGACATGACATGTAAAAGGTACTTTGGCACAGTTAAATCTTTTACAAGTTTCCTTCCTTCGTTCTTATAATATTCACGAGATTCTGTGAGAAAATTTACTTCGAACCTTGAATAATAGATGTGTAATTCGCTGTACATTGATATTAAGGTTTTAACTAGCGTACGGTTAACAATAAAACCATCCCTAGTTATTTGTGCAAACAAGCTTAATAAGAATTATGTCATTGAAAAAAAATATAAATTTGCATAAATAAACTTCACCTTTCGATTCTAATTAGACCAAGTGTACCTTCTAGAACTTTTCTCCCCACCTCAACGTGTACCATAATATGTTTCCGAAATAACTGTAAACCCTTATCCCTTAATACAATAATTTTAAATTAGAAATCTAGTCACATTACAATTTCGAAATAATTATTTTGAAAATCCATTTTACCAAATTGAAGCAAGTCCTTGCGCATTGAACACATAAGTTCGATCGAGATACAGGAAGATACTTCTAATCAGTTGCTAGGTTAAAATGGACAGATAATGAATAACTTAATGATCGACATTAATTTTGAATTCAACGTTTTAAAATCATATTCTACCATTTGTGAACAATAAATCTCCCAACAATTATTTATCACAAAAAGAAATGCTTCTTCTTTTGCAGGATTTCTAGATAAAGAGAATGAAAGAATCATTGATTACATTACACGCTATCTTTGCAAAATCATGAAAACCGAATGTCTGGAATACTAACGTAACTAGCTTATTCCGTTCTTCTGTCACATGTGATTCTATTTCGTTAAATAACTTGGAATATAATGAAGCTGCCATTTTATGAGAACAAAGATTTTTGCAATCCTTATAAAGCTCTTCAAGACTTTCTTCAATGGGCCGATGTGAAAGTATGGCTTTAACAGCCGCCTGAAGCTTCAACCACGCGTCATTTTCATAATTTTCGGGCACTTCGGGTTTTTCTAGATTTTCAAGAACCCCCTTAGAATGGAATGAGATCGCTTGGGAAGATCTGAATAATCCGAGCTCACGTTACCTTTTAAAAGTTCAATCGATATTTTTTTCACTGGCGCCTTTGTTCCACCCTGTCTTAGTAATCCTATGGGTCTATCGGGTATCGGTTTATGTGCTGAAAAGACTAAATCTCGACTTCTCGCCTCTGGACTTATGTGAGGATAGGATCTCGAAGCAGACGACGACGAACCCGCTATTTCACTCATTTTGTTCTGAACCTAATAATCTAACGATAAGCTTTTATATACGATTTTTATCATGTGACCAAAACGCGAATACCATCTAAATATAATTTTATTCATTTATTATATTTATTATACCACTTATAATTAATCGGAAATAGTTGTCATATATTAAACTTTTTATTTTTATTAATAAACATAATTTTTATGTATTAAGTAAACTTGTTCTTCATAATTAATTATATATATGGGTAATTATTTTTGAAGGTGGCAAAAATGCTAGATATGATTTTTTCAGATCCAACTTTTAAACAATGCATATATAATATAAATTTTAGAAAATTTCCAGTCTACCTTTGAAAATAATTATCCATATAGTTAAATTTTTATTAAATTTGAATAAACTTTTATTATTATATTTAATGATTACTATTTTAACAAGTAGTTTTATATTAATAAATTTTGTTCAGTATATGTTAATACATTTAAATATTAAATTTTATAAATTTTTACCTAGTATTTAATATTAAATATTTATTCAAATTTAATAAAAACTTTACAGTATATGTATTTTATTTTTAAAAATAACCTTACTTAGTATATAAAAGTAAATTTTAATAATAAATTTTTTTTTTAGATATAGCTACTATTAGTAATTAATTAAAATTAAATATAAAATTTTTTATTATTATTAAAATTTTATTTATTTAAAAAATAAAATTTATTATATAAAATCATCTATATTTAATATTTTTTAGATAATATTTGCTATTTATAATAACACAAACTTTAAAAAATATATTATTAATAAAAATATATTTTTTAATATTAATTATTAAATATATAGTAATAATAAAAATTTATTCAAATTTAAAAAACTCTCTTCTGATCGCATCCGTTTTGTTAAAAATTTTCCTTTTATAGTAATTTTAAGCAAGAAAAAATGTTTTACACTCTTTATC